TTGAAGGAATTGATGGCTTCCTTCCAATCTCTTCAAGCAACCTTAGTCACAAGGCCACCTTTGACAACAAATCCCTTGTTTGAAGGAAATGCTTCTGTGGCAAATCTCCCTATCGCCACATCTACTCTTGGAAAGGAGCCAATGTCATCTTGCCCACCAAATCCAATTATTGGTGGAACTTCTAGGACAAAGCCATTTGATCTAAATGCTGGTGTTACTACAGTTCAATCTAATGATCAAGAAGAGACTCAAGTTGTCAAGTCAATCACAGAGGATGAAGACAAGGTAATTAAAGTGAAGGTGCAGTTGATGGAGGAAACACTAAAATCGATGCAAGGTGTCTAAACCAATAAACCGGTTGACATCTCATCTTTGTGCTTTTTCCCAAACATTCAATTGCCCCATAAGTTTAAATTGCCTGAGTTTGATAAGTACAATGGCACTGGTTGTCCTTATGCCCACTTGACGATGTATTGTAGGAAGATGGCTCCTTATGCCAATGATGAGAAGCTAATGATACATTACTTTCAGGACAGTTTGACAGGTCCTGCAGATGCTTGGTTCTCAACTTTAGACAAGAGTAAAGTTAAGAGTTGGCATGATTTGACTCACAACTTTATGAAGCAATATGAATACAATACGTCATTAGCTCCTAGTAGAGAGGATCTTCAAAAGACAGAAAAGAAACCAAGTGAGAGCTTTAAGGAATTTGCACAGAGATGGCGTGGATTGGCTGCTCGAGTTCAACCTCCACTAACTGACCATGAATTGAGTAATTTATTCATCAAGTCAACCAAAGGGCCTTATCGTGAGAAATTAATAACTTGTGTGAATTACACTTTTGCTCAGTTGGTTGTTGTGGGAGGACAAGATGGCACTATAAGCTCAGTTTATAATCAGTCACAGGGGCAGTTCAACAATTGATTCCAAGCTCCAACTTTTCATTCAACGGCTTTCACAAGTCAATCAAGGCCCATTTATGCCTCTGGGACAAGTCGTCCACAACAAGAGAAAAAGAGACGCTATTTTGATAAACTTCCAATGTCATATACTGAAGTGTTTCGACAGTTGATAGCAGCTAGGCTTGTTACCCCTGTACCTATGGTGCCATTAAATCCACCATTTCCAATATGGTATAACCCACAAGCAAGATGTGAATACCATAGTGGGGGTGTTGGGCATGATCTTGAAAATTGTCTTGCTTTAAAGCACCGTGTCCAAGATCTGATAGATGCAAAGGAGTTACAAATTACATCAGAACCTGAGGTTGTTGGTCCAAATATCACTAAAAACCCTTTACCCACACATGATGGTCCAACGGTTAATATGATCGAGAAAGATTCCGATAAAGGTCATGAGGTGACTATGTCAATAAATAATGATGGTTTGAGCACTTCTTTTTGAGAAGTTGAGCATATGTGTCATTGATGAAGGAAGGGGCGATGACAAGCTTACTCTACCTACTCATGGTGAAGCTTTAGACAATAAGACAGTAGAGATTCTTCTTGTTCCTATCATTAAATCGTAAGATGTGTCAATCTTCTTGTGGTTGAGCTTGTGACCATGAGAAGAGATGGTTAAAACAAGCCTTTTATATTTTATGAAGCATTGTAGGCATGACAAATAATGTTCCATTCAGTCCATTTCACTCAATGATGTTACTTTCATTTTCATTCCCTCTCTTCATATGCAAGATTGTTCATTTTCTTTTATTCAAATTTCTCATGCTAGCCAAAATTTCCATCTCTAGGTTTGCTGATAATAAATCCACAAATAGTGATATCATTCTTGAACTTACACATAGTTTTGATGAACTAATTTATTCTATGGAAGATGATGAAGAATTAGAACCTTTTCCTGAATTGACTGACATGTTGAGAGAAGAAGAACCTAAATTCCAACCTAATCAAAATGGCCACAACATAAAATGGGGAGGTCA